ATTATTGAGGAAAAATAATGTCAGCTTGAGGACAAGGGTGCACCTGATTCAGATCATGTTTTTTTCCAAACACTTGCTATTCATCTGACAGTTAGACAATGACTAAGGATGACAGAAGAATTGATGGCTTTAAACTGTGGTGTTGGAGAAGAGTGCTGAAGATCCTATGGACTGTCAAAAGAACAAACATATGTCTTGGAGAGGGAGGAGCCAGAGTGCTCCTTGGAGGCAAATACAATGAAGCTTCGTCTCATATACTGCAGGCATGTTGACAGGAGAGGTTATTTCTTAGAGGGGGCTATTGTTCGTGGGAAGGTGGAAGGTTGGCAAAAGAGAGGAAGATCCTTGATCAGGTGGGTTGACATAGTGACTGAAGCAATAGACTTGAATATGTCAGGAAGTGTGAGGATGGCATGGGATAGCATAGTGTCCAGAACAGTTGTTCAGCGGGTCACTATGAGTCCTATTGGACTTGGCAGCACCTAACACCAAGTCTCATGGGAGAATATTGCCAATCCTTCTCCCTCAGAGCAGCTAGTGAATTCGAAGCACGTGCCTTCACGTTAGCAGTTCAGCTCCTTACCACTAGCCCAACAGAGCTCCCATATATGTATCATATATGCATTGTCACTGGTATAATCCTTCACTTGCTAACATCTATCCACCTTGCCTGTCTGCCTGTATCTCCACTTGGTTAATGTATTTTATTATTAAAAGTGCAGAAGCTGCTAATATTTTTTTCAGAGAATTATAGAATGAACTGGTAAATAAATCAAGGATTTCAAAACATGGATTCCAGACTCATGTTAAGACTGTAAAGTGAAGTTAAGGCTCTGCTTTTAGACTTCCCTATTTGTGCATATTGGAAAGAGGAGTGGCATTCACTCCCTAAATAACATGCCTCTGGAAACTCTATGAACTTGGATAAATGTTGATAGTTGTAGAGGGGCGTCAAGCCTTTTGTTTATAGGGCTGCTATGAGTCGAGCTTGACTCGAAGGCAATCAACAACAACAACAACAACAATATTTATACATAATATCTATGGTAGCTAAGAGGTAAGGAGTAGTGCAGCCAACTCAAAAGCACACAATTCAAACCCACCAGCTGCTGAAAGGGAGAAAGATGGGCAATCTCCTCCCATGTTATTGAGAGCCTCTGAAAACCCAGCTATGAGTCAGTTCTGACTCGACAATACATAACAACAACATTTATGCTAAGGAGTTCAGGTGGCCTAGTCTGTAGAAAGTTTTACTGCTAATTCAAAGGTAGCACTCCTCTGGCAGTTCGAATCCACCAGCATCTCCCCAGAGGACAGACAGACAGTCCTCCCATGTGCATGCTATTTAAACCCGAGGGAAGGTGAGCTGTGTGTTGATTCCAACAAGATGGCAGACTTTTTTCTAAGTTTGACTTGGAGGTGGTTTTTTGTTTTTGTTTTTTTTGTAGGTTTTTATTTTGGGGTTTTTGTTGTGTGGTTGTTTTTTTTTTGTGTTTTGTGTTTGTTTGTTTTTTTTATTTACACACAGATTTGGTGCCTCTGGTTCTAGAGTCCCACACAGCACCCACGGGAGTGGAGTTCTACTCTGCACCCTTGGAATTCCTGTGGATAAGCATCAGCTCAGTGACTTCTGGTAGCAATGATAAATCTTGACCTCACACAGCTCAGAGGTGAAGAATCAAGATATCCTTACATAAGTCTTTCAATTCTTTTACAGATGTCAATCTCAAGAGGGAAGAGGACTCTCTGTATAGGATTATCTTCAAGTTGGGGAAGAAAATGTATTATTTCATAGGCATCACTTTGGAATGAAGTCAGAGAAAGTTTCCAACCCAAAGGAGAAACATGAAGTTCCCTCAGAACTACTACCCTTCCCATGGAAAGCCCAGCTGGGCTTTCTTTATTGTGTCTTGGCTTACTGGTTCATTTTCTGTTGGTCTGTGGTAAAAATCATCTCCTAAAATGTCTTTGCCATTCTGATGTCTCCAGCTGAGGGAGCTCTGGCAGTGTAGTGCATAGCAGGCTGCACTGCCAAGCCAAAGGCCTGGTTAATACTGGCTGTTTGAATCCCCCAGTGGTTCCTTGAGGGAAAGCTGGGCAGTCTTCTCTGTTGGGATTTACTGTGTTGGAAACTTCATGGAGGGTCACTATCAGTCAGAACTAACTGGACAGTGAGTTTGCTGAGTCATTAGTTGAGCTATTGTAACAGCTAGTATGCCCCTCTTTTCAGCAGATGGCTTTTCCTCACAGCAAGACTAAATGCCAAATATCATTAAAAAATAAAGTAAAAGTCTATAAAAGCAAACAAATAAGCAAGAAGCTTGGCTTTGACAAACAAGCCAAGGTTTTCCTGAAGGAAAAATCTTTCATCACATGAAACTATCTAATGGCTGTAGCTAAACCAGCTAAAATGTAGAAGATTATAGATTTTTAAATATGGAAAAGCCCTTAGCTGTCTTTGGTGTTCAGAGCTGAGAAAACAGAGTGAAAAGACAAAGGAGAACTTGAACAAAAGAGTTCACACAACATTAGTGACGAAGATGGGAGTTCAAGGCCAGGCTCCTCACCTCCTGCTCTCCTGTTTTATCAAATTATCAATCCTCCTTTTGTGACAAATATTTCATCCTGTTTGTGGTTTTTAATACTATTATTTTTGGAGGAAAATCATTTCTTAAGGGCTTGGTGACTGAAAGTTTGGCAGTTTGAGCCTATCCAAACGTGCCCTGGAAGAAATGTCTGGCAATCTGCTCACCTAAATATCAGCCATTAAAATTTCTGTGTAATTCTACTGTGAAATACATGGGGTCGCCATGAGTAAGAATTGACTGCAGTTGGTATTTTTGGGGGGACTTTTCCTTGGCTGAAAAAATAGGTACCTATCACTTATTGAGGAGCTACTATCTACTCTCCTCTCTCTTTAAAATATGAAGTAGTATCATTAAGTCTGTTCTACAAATGAGGAAAGCTCACAGAGTTTAAGGAATCATGCAAAGCAACACCAAGATCAAGTCACCCATCGGGGCTCTGTGTTAGATCCAGATCCAGTGCCTTTTCTACTGAGCTGCACCGTCTCTCTGTGTCTGATTTCTTTCCTCAGTGCCTCCAGAATTGTCGTCTGAAGAGAAAGTCTTTTAGAAATTAGAATTAGTAGTAATAGTTCTTTTGTCTTTAAAAAAAGTCATTAGAGAAATTATCTGGAACAATACTCAGTTTGTCTAGTAATGAAGTTTTTAAGTTCATTAAAATTTTCTTTTAGTTGGAATACATTTATATATCCTGACCTAGAAAGATGGCCGTATTAAATTAAGTGAAGAAAGCAAATGGTGGGGATATGTATATGGTACAATCCCATTTATGTTTTCTTTAACAATATAGATGAATTTGTTATGCAAACACAGACATTTATGGAGAAGGAGCTCTGGGGCACAGTAGGTGACATGCTGGGCTATTACCTGAAAGGTCAGTAATCAAATTCACAAGGTGAATGAGACCATCTATTGCTGTTTAAGCTTTACAGCCTGAGAAACACTATGGTGGGTCACTGTGAGTCAGGATCAACTCCACATATACATGGAGAGAGAGGGAGGGGGGAGAAAGAGAGAGAAAAAGGAGGAGGAACTGGAGGAGGAAGAGAAAGAAGAGAGAGAGAGAGAGAGAGAGAGAGAGAATGTGTTTGAGGAGGGGAAAGAGAGAATGTCTGGAAAGGTACACACTAAATTCTTAACAAAAGTTCATAAAAGAGAATGAGGTGAGGTAATCAGATAATTAAACAGAAGGCTGGGAGATTATGTATGTATCATTCCAATTTCTCATACCAAATAAATATTCAAAACCATTTTTAAAAGAAAAACATCTAAATTAAAGCTCTCTTCATAAATTCTTTAAACAATTTCACTTTGGTATTGGTAACTAGAACTTGAAGCCAGAAGTTCACTATTATTGTTTTGAATGTCTGAAACTTCTAGGAGGGACTGTGGCTGGACTTTCGGAGAGGACCAGCATTGCCAGAACTCTGGAGAGCACACACATTGAGACTGGCACAGCCAGCGGTTATCTTGCTCAGAGCTGAACTTTTTCTTCCTCAGAATAACATAGGTTGCAGATTTGGTTGCTATGCAACACATAGGAAGACCATGTTTATGAGGGCAATTACTGGACTGTTTTGAACTGGTTTGAAGCCCTCAATGTTGCTCTGTAACCATGAATTATCTCTCTTCTTCGTGAGACTAGAAGTCATAAAAACTCCTATCAATCTCAATGGAAAGTAATTAACAGTTTATGAAATATTATGAAGTCACTTGATTAAAGTATGACCTTGGACTTCAAATCCATTGTTCACTGAACATCTAGTTCCATTATGTGTTTCATCTTCAACCCTGGTTTCCTCCCATGAGTCCTCCTCACCAGCTCTAGAACATCTTCCTGTTCTTGGCACATTTTCTGCAATAGCCTGTTTCTAGGCTATTAGGTTTTATCTCTAGTAGATTTTATCTAGTAGATTTAAAATCTAGTAGGTATTATTTCCAGGAATGACTTCCACTTTTCATGGTTATCTATCATATATTTCATGGTGTCTATCAACTCAACTCATTGCTGTTCAATCAGAACCAAATCAAAGCTGACCCTTCAGAAGGTTTTCAGAGAGGGTGTAAATGGCACAGGAGACGATTGTTCTTGGAGGATTTGAACCACTTGCCTTCAAGGATGAAGAGGAGCAACATACTGATTAGGCAACCAGAGTTCCCTTAATGTATGTTCATGTAGAGATAGATAGATAGATAAATGAGAGAGAGGGAGAGAGTGTTTATAGATAGAGATATAGAGAAATACAGATATATTAGCTAAACAGATATAGATGTTTATATAGATACAAAAATCTGTCATGAGAAGTTTAGAAATTGAACATAAACATTTTTAAACTGGTTGCTCTGCCCTTTCTCTCTTTCCCCTCTACCAATGACTATGTCTCCCTCTCCATGTTAACCATTGTCTTCCTCCAGGTAAACACAACTGACAAGCCACTGAGAAAACCACCAGCCAGACTGAAAAAGCTTAAGATCAAAAGGGAAGTGAAAGATTTCACCATGAAGGACATAGAAGAGAAGATGCAGGCAGCAGAGGAGCGCAGGAAGGTATGCAAGCTCCTCCCTCTTCCTTCCTGCATCAGCAGGAGTAGGACAAATTGCATGGTGCTTGGTGATCTACACCTATAACCCTGAGGCTGTGGTGCTTGGTTCAGTGGTAGGTACACTTGGGCTGGATTGCTGACCAGTCAACGCATCTGTCAGTGGAGATTTGCCTACTGCTGTGACACTGAACAGATTCAGTAGTGTTTTCAGACTTAGACAGACTTGGAAGGGAAGTCATCCAGTCTGACGATCACAAAGATCTGATTCATCACTGAACATAGGCACAGACAGGACCACACAATGCTTTGTCCTGTTGTACATCAGGTCACCATGAGTCCAGGCTGGCTCAAGAGCACCTAGCAACAGCAACATACCTCCTATGTTATGTTTAAGTGGTCATTTAATGCTATTTATTAAATTTCTTTTATGGTGCATAGCAATGTAGAGAGGTTAGTTTAGATATAATTCCATCCATACGCTTTAAGTAAATGCTCTAAAAAGCATTTAGAACTCAGATGGTCTAGTCCATAAGGAGTTGCCCTACCAACCCTGAGGTCATACCTCTCTGGCAGTGTGAAACCACCAGAAGCTGCACCAGAAAAAGATGGGCAATTCCCTCCTGTGTGATATACAGCCTTGGAGGCCCAATAGTGGATGAATCACTTCTGACTGGTCAGTAATTAGAGCTAGCAGATTCATAGGATGATTAAGTCAAGTGTGGCGTATGAAACAGGAGCCAAGGAAGCCATGAATATAGTCAGACTTCTTATAGTCATGGTTCCCTAACACATGGAGCTGCAGCATCCCACGACGCCAGGCTGGAGACTGTGCCATTGATCCTGGAGCAGGGCTTGTGCACGGCAAGTAGAAGGAGATAACTAGGTCCCTGGGTTTCCTAGGAGTGGAATAATTTGAGTAATTCCACAGGCTCAGAGGGCGTGGGGGCTGTCTCAGTTCCTTGTACTGCTATTACCGAAATACCACTAGTGAGTGGCTTTAACAAGCATTTGTTTTCTCACTGTGTAAGAGGCTCAGAAGACCAGGAATAGGGCACTGGCTGTGGGAAAGTCTTTCTATCTGCTCTGGGAGAAGCGTTTTGTTTTATTGTGGGATTGTGGGAGTTTGGGGGTTTTTTTTTTCCCTTTTCTTTTCAGCTTTTATTGCTTGGCTCCTTGTAATCTTCATGGGTCAGGGCATCTGTCTTCCTCAATCTCTGCTTGCTTGATTGCTAATCAACTTGCTCTTTTTATAGCTTAAAAAGAGATTAAGACAAGCCCTGTACTAACCCACCTTCATTAACATAATAAAAAGAACTCATTCCCAAATAACCAAAGGCATCTCAAAACCAGAAGGTACATAACAACAACAAGGAATCTCAGAGGAGGAGATTGCTGTATTTCCCACTCCAGCCCACACTGGAGGAGGTGCTGCTTAGCAGCACAACTTCTATGGATATAGATGATATGGATATGGATATGGATATGGATATGGATATGGATATGGATATGGATATGGATATGGATATGGATATGGATATGGATATAGATATGCTTCCAGAGCCTGGTAACCACAGGCATATTGTTGTCCTGAGTCAGAACCAACCCATAGCTGACCCTCCAGTGGCTTTTCAATGGCAGTAAATCACACAGGAAGATTCTTCCTTGAAGCTGCTGGTGGATTCAAGCCATATGCCTTTGGGTTGGCAGCACAACTCTTTACCACTAGGCCACTAGAGCTCCCTTAAATACAGGCATGTTGTTGTTAGGTGGCGTTGAGTCAAGTATGACTCATAGTGACCCTATGAACAAAGGATCTGAACCATGTCCTATCCTGTGCCATCCTCACACTTCCTGACACACAAGAGCCCATTGAAACAGTCACCATGTCAGTCTGGCTGGTTGAGGGTCTTCCTCTCATTCGCCGACCCTCCACCCTTCCCAGCATCATGTCTTTCTCCAAGGAATAGCACTTCCTAGCAACATGTCCAAAGTATGTGAGGTGAAGCCTCATCATTCTTGTCTCCAAAGGTCACTCCAGCTGCACCCTCTCCAAGTCTTTGTTCTCTTGGCTGTCCATGGGATGTTCAGTGCTCTTCTCCAACACCACAGCTCAAAGGTGTCAATTCTTTTTCTTTCTTCCTTATTCATTATCCAGCTTTCAGATGCATCACAAGTGATTGGAAATACTGTGGCCTGAATCAGACACACCTTAGTCCTTAAACTGACATCGTGACTCCTCAATAATTTTGAGAGGTTCCTAACTGCAGATTTTCCCAGTGCAACCACAGGTGTAGGGGTTGAGATTTACAACAGATCTTTTTAGGGACACAATTCTATCAATGACAGTGATTATCCCCATTGATTGTTGAATACCTGGATCAGGTTCTGTTGGCCCAGGAGTGTGAGAACTTGAAAAGAGGATTTCATCAACTGCTCAGGAAGTAGAATAGATTGACCCTCACACAGGGCCAAAATAGGGCCTGTTTCCTCCCAAGGATGAACACTGAAATTCCATACCGTCCAGCTATTCCACTGTTTGGAATATACCACAAGAAAATTAGAACTGTGGCACAAATGGAGACTTGTACACCAATGTCCATAGCAGCACTATTCACCATCATAAGAACATGCAAACAGCCCAAATGTCCAACCACAATAAATGGATTGAGAAATTGTGAGATTCAAATGGTGGCCTTCATAGCACTCAGGGCAATGATTTGGAAAATTACTACCAAAGTTGGGGGTGATTGGAGAGGATTATGTTAAGTCAACTAGCTCAGTCTCATAAAGACAAATACTGTATAAGACCATTATTGTAGAAATAGAAAGGTAAGTAGTAAAACATATATGAGGATCCACGGGGAGGAGGATAGGAGTAAAGGGGTGAGGATGGACTGGGGCTGGTGGGGGTTGGTGAATTATAGGGTTGCACAAATTGGTGGGTGGAGGGAAGCGTAGGTAAAAGAAATGGGAAAGATCCAGCAGGGATCTAGAGTGACAGGGCCACAATGGGCAGAGTTCAATGATTGATTTTTTTTGAAGCATAATGAATGGCATGTTTGTATTAAATACAATGAGAATGAAGAATAGTATGAAATACAATGTATATGAACTTTGTAAGCAAATCAATATAAAGCAAAACGTTATTAAAAACAAACAAACAAAAAAACCCAACCCAAACCCCAAAGGGCCAAGACAGCATTGCAAAAAGTGATATTGCAGTAAACAAGGCTCAGTTCTCAGAATTGAGTGAAGAGTGGCATTTTCTTCACAGTAAACTTGAGTTTTCAGTAGGGATACAGCAGTAAGGAGGGGGATGTGGAGTGTTGAGAGGGGACTTTGCAGACCATTACACAATTCCTGCTGCCTGTACATGTGTGACAGAGTCCCACGAACCTCCATCAGCGCTTCTCCTGGGACCCAGCCTCCAGGGCTTTGCACTGACAGCCTCCACTGTCTGGCCTCTCTGGCCTCTCTGAGAACAAGGTCCTCAGCATACAGAGGTGTCGGCCCTCTTTAAAGAGACTACTGGACAGCTATTTATTCAGTTACTGTGTGAAGAGAGAAGCCATAGGTTGCTCATTACCTAGCAATCTTTCTGAAAATGTGTACCAAGTTCTTCAGGCTTTTCTATTCCTTTCATTCTTTTCAATTCCTTTCAGACTAAAGAAGAAGAAATAAGGAAAAGACTCCGGAGCGACCGACCTCCACCATTAGACCATCGTGGGGATCCAGTAGGACTGGGTGGGACTGAGGTCCCCGCTGACAAAGGACTTGGAGCCCTCAGCTCTGCTGCTTGGCAGCTGTCAGACCCACAGGGAGGTGAACCCCTGAAAAGGAAGAAAAGCAAAAGTGATGTAGCCTCAAGTGACTTAAACTATAGTTATGACAGTATCGGAGTCGTGGAGTCAGACATGTCCTACAACCAATCAGATGATGTATTCTAATAAGTCATTTTATGTTCATTGAGTTAAAAACAACAAAAGAAACAAAATTAGTCTCCTGGCTTGTAAATCTCTTCATTTGCTTCATGTTCTCTTTGGCCCTAAGCCCTTGGGAGTTCTGCCATGAACTTAGGAGTGAGTTCATGAAGGTCAGAAGTTAAGAAAGTAATTGAAATTGCCATTTTACGAATTATACAAACTTCAAATCCACTAGCTGTCCCATGGGAGGAAAATGAGTGATCTCCTTCTATGCGATTTATTGCCTCGGAAAACCTGCTGGAGGGTCAGCTGTGAGTTGGCTCTGACCTGATGGTACACAACAACAATATCATTTAAGGGAGCTCGGGTGGCACGGATGATAGAGAGTTGCACTGCTAGCCCAAAGGTGGGGCCTCTGTGGTGCTTCAAGTGCGCCAGCAGCAACTCATCGTGAGAAAGATGGGTAGTCTCCTCTTGTGCAACTTACAGCCTCTGAAAACCCACTGGAGGGTCAGCTGTAGGTCAGTTCCTACTGGATGCCAATGAGTTGAATTTTTTTCTTACTTTTTTTTTCAAAAATTTGACCAGTTTATATATATGATAAAATTGACATTCTCTTTCAGTATGGTTTCAAACTTTGTGAAATTATCTCTAATTTTGTGATTTCTTTCTATTTACATTAATACATTTGTGCCAAATAAAATGCTTCTTTTGGCTCCACCTTCTCCTGGCTGTCGTCTGTTCTCTGCTGTCCCAAATCCTAGTGCTTCACATTCTGCTTCCCCGGGGACACTTGGGGCTGAGGAGTCTGTTGACCTTTTGATTCCATAGAGGAAACCTATGTCCGATTCCTACCAATATACCTTATGCTCAGCCACCACCATCTGTCAGGGGAGGTATGTGTGCTACTGAAATGGTGAACAGCTGTCAGTGGAGCTTCCAGACTGAGACAGATTAGGAAAAAGGGTCTAGAGATCTACTTTCAAGATGCAGCTAATGAAAACTTTATGGATCAAAAAGACTTGATCCCAACCAATCATAAAGGTGACTCGGGTTTGGGTAATATTCCACTCTCTTGTGCATGGCACTGCACTAAGTGGAAGCCAAATAAGGAGACATTAATGATGACATTTTATTGAAAAGTATACCTTGTAGTCTATCTCTCCCTTATCATTCATGACCCATCAATTACCAGATTGTAGACACCTACATGATAAGCATCTCCTGCATCCAGTTTTGTGCTCATCCATGTCCCTCACTACCTCCACTTTAGACCATGTAACAATAATCCACCTAGATCTAGACAAGAGTCATGGACAGCCAAAAGAACAAACAAACATGTCTTAGAGGGAGCTCTGGTGGCCTAGTGGCAAGAAGCTGCACTGCAATCCCAGAGGTACATGGTTCAAATCCACCAGATGCTCTGCTAGAGAAGAAGGGTCAGTCTCCTCCTGTACCAGTCAGATCTGATTTGATGGTACACACACAAAAACTAATAAACTCATGTCTTAGAGAAAGTGTAGCCAGAATGCTTTTTGGAGTAAAGTCGAAAAGGATTCATCTCACATGCTTTGGGCATGATGTTAGGGGAGGCTGTTCCTTGGAGAGGGACATCGTGCTTGGAAAGGCAGAGGGTCGATGAAGGAGAGGAAGATCCTCAACCAGGGGGATTGATACAGTGACTGCAGCAAAGGATGTGAGTGTGTCAGGAAGTGTGAGATACCTGGCACAGGATAGGACAGGGTTCCAATCTGTTGTCCATAGGATTGCTAAGGCTCATACTTGACTCAATGGCACCTAACAACAACTCACGAACATCAGTCTTCTATTAAAGCCTTTCATTGCCTCTTTTGGCCTCTAGATAAAGTCCTGGCTCTATCTGATAGGCATTTCAGCTGTCATTATTCACCATTGCCAGCTCCACAAACTTGACACGAGCCTCTGAGTCTCTGTACAATCTATTCCTTCCCCCCTCTCTATTTTTGTTCTTTAATCAGACCAATGTCTTCTTGTTGTTTATGTCTAGACTCAACACCACTTTTTCTGGGAAGGCTTCCATGATCCCTTGATCTGAACCAGGATACCCTCTCATAATTATTACCACTTTGGCAGCCTAGGCCGCTAATCTTCGTGCCCTATATAAGAATTGCCTGATAAACTTCCATCTTCCTACGAGATGCTTTCAGTTCCAGCATGATAGAGAAGTGGGTGTATCTTGATCATGGCTGTGCTCTTGTTCCTTGGCTTAACTGGCATGCTGTAAGTGTTATGTAAATGTTGGCTTAGTAGATGAATTGATGCTATTGTGAATGCTCCAGGAGCAGGGAGAGAGCCCTAGGAGATGACTTGTTTTCCTCAGAACCAAAGGCTGATGGATGTGCCAATTGAACTTGAACACGCATGACTCAGCAGCTCTTGTTTCTACACCCACTTTGGGATGTCACAAATTGGTACTTGTGCTTTGCTATCTATAAGAATGAGGGCTCATGTTTCATAAAACATTGTGAAATCAAACTCACTGCCATTGTGTTGATTCCAACACATAGCAATACTCTATCAGGTTTCCAAGGTTGTAAATCTTTACAAGAGACTGCCTCCTCTTTCTCCTGCAGATGGACTGGTAGATTAAAACTGCTTTTGGTTAGTATGCCACACCAAATGTGTTCCATTGGTGCTCCAAACATATAACACTTTCAAATATCACTCATTGTCTTGGAATCATAAGCTGACCCTTCACTTGGTCTCCAAGACTGTCAAATTCATGGGAAGAAATTGTCCACTTTTCTCCTACAAAATCACTGCTGGATTAAAACTATCAGAAAGGTGGGGGCCTTTGTGTTAGAAGTCCCCAAGGACAACATCAGCAAAGCTCCCTCCAGTAGCTGAAATGATTGTACAAGGATGCTTTGCAAAAATATCTGCGTATCATTTAGATCTCAGCAGTTTATAAAATGGAAATAACCAAAAGAGTGCATTTAACACATATAGATACCATTGGTGTAAATGAAATTCCCGTGTTTTGTCAATACAAACATGATACTTTCCCCTGAAATCTGTTATTGCTTGCTGTGTATAGTGGCTTTAAAAGTACACGCTCAAACCAAACCATTGCCATCAAGTGGATACTGGACCATCTTGACCCTATAGCACAGAGCACAACTGCTCTCTGGGGTTGGTAGGGCTTTATATCTCTCCAGAGGTAGACTGTTACATCTTCCTCCCAAGGAGTGGCTGGTGGGTTCAAACCTCTGACCTTTCAATTACCAGCCAAGCAGTTTAATCACTGCACCAGCAGGGCTGATTATGTACAATATAGTCAGCACTGACAACTTGGTTGGAAACCACTCTATACACATAGAATTAACTGTGCAGACCAGTAACACAGCCTCCATGATAATGAGTGTATTTTCTTAGTGAGACATCCATTTTAATAGCATGAAAAGAAAGATGATTACCCTCTAGGACTCTGGGCACTAGGTACTGCTCTAAAGCTCTAAGAATTTTGAAAAACCACTGCCATGAAGTTAATATGGACTTATGGTGACCCCATGTGCAACAGAGTAGAACTTACTCCATAGACTTGTCAATGCTGATGGGTTTGTTTGGTTTTTTCCCCTTTAAAAGTAGATCACCAAGCCTTTCATGGAAAGTATCTGTGGGTGGTCTTAAACACCCAACTTATCAGTTTATGAGCAAGTTAACCATTTGCATCGCCTACCTGAATAGTTGTTGTTAGGTGATATTGCATCCACTAAGACTCACAGCACCTCCATGAACAGCAGATCTGAGCCTTGTACCTTGATCTATCCTATGCCATCCTCAAGATCTCGGATATGATTGAACTCATTGTTACTCTGTATTTTTGTTCTCAAATACCATCTAAGCCTTTAAAGATGAAGAACCAGAAAGCTCAAGGATTCTAAGGAACTTTCCCACACCCCAGAGCTGCTAGGATCCGCTGGAATAAAGTGTATGTTTAAATCCGCATCTGCCTCCAAATTATTTTCTATTCCATCTCAAGTCTAACAAAAAAACCCTTCAAATGTAAATGTAGCTCTTTCCTATCATCGTCTTTGTTACTTTTTCCTCCTTTTTTATTTTTGTTGCACATTTTCTGCACATTTTCTTCCTTCTGCACTCCTACTTCCCCAGCCTATTCAGCAATACACCCTTGTTTCAGGTTGTTGTCATATATTGTTGTTATGTGTTGTCAAGTCGCCCATGACTCATAGTGACCCTATGTACAACAGCCCTAAATCTGCTCTATCCCTTGCCAATCTTATTGTCTCTGACACACCTCTCCCATTACCCCAGTAACTGAATCAATCCATCTCATCTTGGGTCTTCCTCTCCTGCACTGTCCCTACACCCTCCCAAGCATGACGTCCCTTTCCCAGGACTGATCCTTGCAACATGTCTAAAGAATGTCAAACAAAGCTCTAGAATCTGTACCTCCAAGGAGCAGCCTGGCTTCACCCTCTTCAGGATGAACTTGTTTGTTCTCCTAACAGTCCATGGTATATTCAGTACTCTTCTCCAGCACCACAGCTCAAAGGCATCAACTCTCATTCTGCCATCCCTAGTCATTGTCCAGCTTTCCAATGCATAGCAAGTAATTACAAAGACCATCACACCTTATCAGGCACACCTTAATCTCTAGACTGACATCACTGCTCTTTAGGGCTTTGGAGAGGTCTCTCACAGCAGATTTCCCCATGCAATTCATCTTTTAATTTCCTGGCTGCTGGTACCAACTGTGTTGCTTGTAGAATCAAGCAAACTGAAGCTATCAACAATCTCAATCTCTTCACCATCTATCATGATCGTGCCAATTGGTCCAGTGGTGAGAATCTTTGTTTTCTTGATGTTGAGTTTCCATCCATATTGAAGGCTGTTGTCCTTGACCTTCTGCAGCAAGCACTTCAGGTCCTCCTCAATTTCAGCTAACAGGGTTATATCATAATCATGTACTCATTTTGGACAATTCTTCCCCTCATCTGTTCTACTGCAGTGTTCATTATCTA